TAACTTACAGTGGTGTGAAAAAGTGTTGGCCCCCTTCCTGATTTCTTATTTTTTTGCGTGTTTGTCACACTTTAATGTTTCAGATTATCAAAAAATTTTAATATTAGTAAAAGATAACACAAGTGGACACAACATGCAGTTTTTAAATGAGGGTTTTTATTATTAAGGGAAAACAAAATCTAAAACTACATGGCCCTGTGTGAAGAAGTGTTTGCCCCCTAAACCTAATAACTGGTTGGGCCACCCTTAGCAGCAACAACTGCAATCAAGCGTTTGCGATAACTTGCAATGAGTCTGTTACAGCGCTGTGGAGGAATTTTGGTCCACTCATCTATGCAGAATTGTTGTAATTCAGCCACATTGGAGGGTTTTCGAGCATGAACCGCCTTTTTAAGGTACTTAATTATAATTATGAAATTATTTGTTTTAAAATCTCAGGGGTACTTCAAGCAAATATATTAGTTTGGGAATTAATACCCGTGACGTCACTTGCAATCGACACAAATCGTGCGTGTTGCCAATGGAGACAAGACGCTGTGGTGCTTAAACGATTAAAACTAATTTAATATACTCCTCTTCATTATTAAAATATACATAACTAATATGTACAGGCAAGCAGGTGAGACCAGAATAAACGCAACACGCAAAGTTTGGCGTTAAGCGTTTTTCCATATAGAATAAACTGTCTACAGCTCTTTTATATCATTGTCTTGTCCATTAAGCTACATTACGTGTTTTATTTATAATGATTTTCTATGGGAGGAAAATGTTTAAAGTGCAATTTAACACATTGCGTTCTGGGCTCGTCTGCTTCCCTGTACGGAGTTGAACCTTTTAATAACACTTAATGCATTTCATAATGCACGTTCATATTTGCTGGTCTGTATATACTTTGAGTCAACAACAAGACATATAGGCTACTGAATTGTCTTTATCATCTTTATATATTTATCATATACCGTTATTATGCCACATTAAGTGAAAGTTTGCGCATCGTGTTCATGGCCATCTGCTTGCCTTGTAGTACATTAAATAATAACTATATATCGAATTTGATCTTTTAATTGCACTTAATAGCATCTTAATACATTAAGCCATATTAAGTGTTTATGTTTTTCTACAGGAGGAAAACGCTTAACGAGAGACTTTGTGCATTGCGTTCATATTCTGCTGTTCTGTGGCCGCGAATTTGCGGATCTTGTCTTTTTCTTGCAGGACCCTGTACGTTATACGAAACTGTGCGTGTTGCATTTATTCTGGGCTCACCTGCTTGCCTGTACATATTAGTTATGTATATTAATAATGTAGAGGAGCATACTGAGTTTGGCCTTTTTAGTCCATTATGCCACATCATGCCACGTTTTGCGGTATGGGAGGAAAATACTATATACATATTCATTATATTAATAAATTGTATATTTAATTTGATATTTTAATAGCATCTTAATACATTAAGCCATATTAAGTGTTTATGTTTTTCTACAGGAGGAAAACGCTTAATGAGAGACTTTGTCCATTGCGTTCATATTCTGCTGTTCTGTGGCCACGGATTTGGGGGTCTTGTCTTTTTCTTGCAGGACCCTGTATGTTATAGTACTAAATTAGTTTTAATTGTTTAATCACCACCACTGCATCTTGTCTCCATTGGCAATACGCACGTGAAGATTGCAAGTTTCTTTTTTCTTGTCTTCACCACCTGGCTACTGTTGTAAAATGTTGAGAGATTCAAACAAAAAGTAATCAATAAATAGAACAAAATAAAAATTTAAAAAGACTGCAAGTGACGTCACTTGCGAAAGCACAAGTGTCTGAGAGCGCAAGTCTGCAGCCAGACCCTTCTCAAACAAGTAACTGCCGTCTGATTACGAGTATTTTAAAATTTAACTTAATCTAATTACAAGAACTTAATTTTTGGAATCTGATTACGTAATCCGGATTACATGTAATCAGTTACTACCCAGCTCACGTTAGCATGTTTCTGAACTCACCCTCCTCCGCCGATCTGAAGGGAATCCGTGTTTCCTTTCACAAAGTATGAGTTTTCACCCTTCCAGCGGTAAACCTGAAAACATTGAGCGTCATTGACGACACATTGATTTTCTGTGAAGCTGCTTTGGAATGATGTGCATCGTGAAAACCGCTATACAAATAAACGTAAATTGAATTAACTAAAGGCAAACATCAAGACAAACTACAACTGTCACTTTAAAGTATTGAGGTCTCATGCCGTTTGAATACTTAATCTGAACAGAGATTTGAAGTTGGAAACGATTTAAAGTCCTTTCACATTGAGCGCGATTAAGCGACGCAAATGCACCACACAATGACGTTCTTGAATCAAAACAATAAATCTCTATGGAGCTATTCATACCGGTCGCGATCAATTGTGGCGCGACAAAGTAGATTTTAGACCAGTGTGTTGATATTTTTTGCTAGGGACCTTTTGATTGATTCAAGATTCAAGCTCTGGTGGGTTGCTGGTTACTACTCCGTAGCTAACATTTTCTAAATGATTGCTAGGGCATTACTTAACGGTTCCTATGGTCCTCTAAGTAATTTATAGATTGTTACTAGGCAGTTGCTAAGATATTCTGGGTGGCTATCTGTCTGTTTCAAAGGTGTTCACATTGGTTGCCAGAACATTGCCAAGCAGTTGCTGACATATTCTGAGTGGATGTTAAGACTGTGTGGTTGCCAATGTTCTTTGAGTGGTTCCTAGGGTGTTGCTAGGCAGTTGCTAAGGTGTTTTGGGTGGTTGCCTGGCGATTACAAAGGTGTTCTGATTGGTTGACAGGAGATTGGCAATAGTTGCTGATACATTCTGAGTGGTTGTTAAGACTGTGTGGTTGCCAATGTTCTCCAAGTGGTTTCTAAGATGTTGCTAGGCAGTTGCTAAGGTGTTCTAGGTGGTTGCCTGGCAGTTGCAAAGGTGTTCTGATTGGTTGACAGGACATTGGCAACAGTTGCTGACATATTCTGAGTGGTTGTTAAGACCGTGTGGTTGCCAATGCTCTCTAAGTGGTTTCTAAGGTGTTGCTAGGCAGTTGCTAAGGTGTTCCAGGTGGTTGCCTGGCGGTTGCAAAGGTGTTCTGATTGGTTGACAGGACATTGGCAACAGTTGCTGACATATTCTGAGTGGTTGTTAAGACCGTGTGGTTGCCAATGCTCTCTAAGTGGTTTCTAAGGTGTTGCTAGGCAGTTGCTAAGGTGTTCCAGGTGGTTGCCTGGCGGTTGCAAAGGTGTTCTGATTGGTTGACAGGACATTGGCAACAGTTGCTGACATATTCTGAGTGGTTGTTAAGACCGTGTGGTTGCCAATGCTCTCTAAGTGGTTTCTAAGGTGTTGCTAGGCAGTTGCTAAGGTGTTCCAGGTGGTTGCCTGGCGGTTGCAAAGGTGTTCTGATTGGTTGACAGGACATTGGCAACAGTTGCTGACATATTCTGAGTGGTTGTTAAGACCGTGTGGTTGCCAATGCTCTCTAAGTGGTTTCTAAGGTGTTGCTAGGCAGTTGCTAAGGTGTTCCAGGTGGTTGCCTGGCGGTTGCAAAGGTGTTCTGATTGGTTGACAGGACATTGGCAACAGTTGCTGACATATTCTGAGTGGTTGTTAAGACCGTGTGGTTGCCAATGCTCTCTAAGTGGTTTCTAAGGTGTTGCTAGGCAGTTGCTAAGGTGTTCCAGGTGGTTGCCTGGCGGTTGCAAAGGTGTTCTGATTGGTTGACAGGACATTGGCAACAGTTGCTGACATATTCTGAGTGGTGGTTAAGACTGTGTGGTTGCCAATGTTCTCTAAGTGGTTTCTAAGGTGTTGCTAGGCAGTTGCTAAGGTGTTCCAGGTGGTTGCCTGGCGGTTGCAAAGGTGTTCTGATTGGTTGACAGGACATTGGCAACAGTTGCTGACATATTCTGAGTGGTGGTTAAGACTGTGTGGTTGCCAATGTTCTCTAAGTGGTTTCTAAGGTGTTGCTAGGCAGTTGCTAAGGTGTTCTAAGTGGTTGCCTGGCGGTTGCAAAGGTGTTCTGATTGATTGACAGGACATTGGCAACAGTTGCTGACATATTCTGAGTGGTTGTTAAGACTGTGTGGTTGCCAATGTTCTCTAAGTGGTTTCTAAGCTGTTGCTAGGCAGCTGTGTTCTGATTGGTTGCCGTGAAATTGCCAAGCAGTTGCTAAAATGAGTGGTTGACAAGGCGTTGCTATGTGGTCGACAATGTTCTTTAAGTGGTTTCTAAGGTGTTGCTAGGCAGTTGCTAAGGTATTCTGGGTGGTTGCCGGTCAATTACAGCGTATTCTCATTGGTTGCTGGGATGTTGCCAAGTGTTTCTAAGTTTCTAAGTGTCTGCCAAGTGTTTCTATGTGGTTTCTAAGGTGTTAGAAGGCAGTAGGCAGTACTTTGCTAAGGTATTCAGGGTGATTGCTTGGCAGTTGCAAAAGTGTTCTGATTGGTTGCCAGGACATTGTTAAGCAGTTGCTAAAGGTGTGTTCACACCAGACGCAAATGTAATTATTCGCGGGAGTAGATTACATACAAAGTCAACGCAAAGACGCGAATAGAGGCGAATTCGCACCGGGCGACGCGAATGAATACGTACGATATTCGCCTCAATCGCGTCTTCCGCGCAAGTTCAAAAATTTCAACTCGAGCGGAAAATTTGCATGACATGTTCTCGCGCAAGCCAATCAGCGAAGAGTTTCTTGACACGTCCAGTTGAATCAAACAATAGAAGAGAGCATTATTGTAGCCGTCTGTTATTATAGGTCTGGAGCATAGAAAACAATTAAAATCAGTTGTAGTGGTAGTTGTATTTTATTAGCATGGCTACAGAGATGCTGCTATCAATAATAAAAATAATAGTAATATCAGTGTATATATACAGTAGTAAAATGTAACACACACATTAATGCAGGATCCTAACGTTACTCATCCTCCTCTGCATGGTGCTGTGAACCCAGACACGTCGGCGTTTGGCTTTCCATCGTATTTGGGACTTTTTGACAACAGGTACAAAACAGCGATTGTAGTTATCTCCACCATGGTTGATCGCGCTATCTCCACCATGGTTGATCGCGCTATGTTTTTATTCGCGCGAGTGACACGAAAAACATCCAGCGAGTAATCTAGAGCGAGTGACGCAATGCGCATATTCGCTTCACGTCTGGTGTGAACACACCATTAGACGTCTGAGTGGTTGATAAGGCATTATATTGTGGTTGCTAGGGCGTTTGCAAACAATTTTGTCCCCTAAAGTCTACGTAGGTCAGAAACACACCTTGATCTCTGGGCAGAAGCTGTAGAGGAAGGTCTCTCCTGTCCCATAATAGTGCTCACTCAGTCGGAAAGGGTGAGTGGAAAACGCTCCAAAAATCTGCAGGAGAAAATGACGAGTTTTTTAACATGGGAACACCAGTTTCATCAGCCGGTCACAGTACCAACAGCGGTCACAGTAGTGCATGTACCTGGTTGTCCATGTCTTTGATGACCATCAGCACAGGGCAGTCCAGCTCCATCAGGTTCCTGTACAGGGTTTTCAGGCTGGTTCCGTGTACCACCGTACTGTAGACCAGACGCCACGGATAACCCTGAACACGGGCCGGCAAACGAGTGGACAACTGCAGAACAAAGCGTCACACAAATCACAATGATCACCATTTATTAGGGGTGTAACGGTACACGTATTCAATCCGGAAATTTTCAGTACGGGTCTTTCGGTTCAGTACGCATGTGTACCGAACAAATCATTCCATTTTTTTTTCAGGAAAATCAAACAATAAATGCCGTTTTGACGCTCTTTGATGCTGCGTGAATAATATAGAAGTCTCAGTTCTAACATCAGTGCGGAGCGCGAGTGAGCGCGATCATCCCTTCATCTTTACTACTAGTTTTAACGCGAAATAAACATGAATGAACAAATCATGCCTCATGTAATCGCTCAATCAGTGTTTCAACCGCGGAAAGACGTAAATTAAACAGCTTGTAAACAAAATGTCACGTAGCATTTCATTTACCTCAGGCAAGTAATCAGTGTCTACAGCTCGTTATCTGAAGTCTCGAGAAGAGCATTTTGAGAAATATTAGACTACATACTGATTATATTTTACTTTACCTGTTAGTGATGTCTTAATTATTTAATGTATGTTTAAATAAATCTTTTTTGAAAAAGTTACAACAGCCACTGTGTAAATTATTATATTTCAACAACAAATAGAAATTTTATAATTTAGAAGTTAATTTAAAAACTGCATATTTTTAATTTGAGTGTTGATTATTATAGTTAAAAATAAATGGTAATTGAATTTACGTTTGGGCTGTTGTTAATTGTAACCTTACAGTAATGTAAAAGTGTTCCCTATAGTTTAGAGAAGCAGAGGCAGATTTTTATCCCTAAGAAAATTAATTGTAATTGAATTTATTTAAAGAAAAAGCAATTTGTTCAGTAAACCGTTGTTTAATAAAAAAAAAGAAGTTTAGTTTTTTTCCTCCTGCTGTACCGAAACCATACCGAACCGTGATGTCAAAACCGTCACGTTTGTGTACTGTTACACCTCTACCATTTATATCATCCCATAATATCACAAACAAACCCCAATGGACCTTTAAATAGTTAAAGAGATAGTTCACCCAAAAATGAAAATTTGCTGTTAATTTATTCATCCTCAGTGAATTTTTTCCTCAGTAGAACAGTAAATAAGATTTTCAGCTGAAACTATGGTCCTTGGTGATTCATAAAAGTCAATGGCTACAGCAAATTACTAATGGCAAATGAATAGCCTTGGCTTCTGACGATATATTGATGACTTATGAAGCGAAATGATCAGTCTGTGCAAGAAACTGAACATTATTACCTGTAATCCAGAGCCTCAGGCAAACAGTCTGGAGTGATGTCCAGTTCACGAATGAATCATTCTTTTGAACCTATTCTTTTTAGTGAGCTAGTTGAACAAGTTCACTGGAGCATCAGAATTAGTTCGCGGCTCGAGCAGCGCAGATCTTCAAGTTACTCAATCAAAACTCACTTTCGGACGCCAGACAGTCACTCCGACTGGAAATGAGCCGAAATAACGGCATATATGATCCAATGATGAATGAACTGATTCAGTGCTCCAGTTCCTCCAACAGTCACTGAACTGAGGAAACAGCTTGCCTCTATAATAATAACACAATTGCAGCTTTAATAACACAATTGCGAATATGTTACGTCATTGCTTGATTACGTAAACTAACTAGTGAATTGCACCAGTACACTGCAACGAACTGTCCAAAAGAACCAGTTTGCAGAAAATAATCATATTTCCCCATTTGCCTCTGGATTACAGGTAATAATGTTGTAAGTAATGTTCAGTTTCTTGCACAGACCGATCGTTTCGCTTCATAAGACCTAAATTTTTGCTTTATTTGATAGCACTAATATAGTAAACTTTGGCAAATTCTGCTTTGATACCATAGCATTGGACTGGTGCACCTCAACACCTACAAGTCACGAGAAGCCAATCAGATTGTATTTGCTGATATCTGCTAGATCTTGTCATTTTTGAGGCATAGGACCTGTCATTTACTCACTCTCATGTCTTTCCAAACCTGTATGACTTTATTTCTTCTGCGGAACACACATGAATATGTTTTGCAGGATGTTTCAACTGTTTTGACACAAACCTCACACATCAACTAAGATCAAACCTCAATGGTTCTTGCATGTCATATGACCAAACGTCACAAAATTTAAGGTTTGTGCCACCATACTGTATTTTATGTTTTCATTTGAGTTGAGAGTGGATAAAACCTTAGAGGGATAGTTCACCTATTCACAGCTGTAAATGTACTCACCCTCAGGCCATCAAAGATGTCGATGAGTTTTTATTTTTGTTCAGTAGAACAGTAAAGAAGATTTTCAGCTGAAACTATGGTCCTTGGTGATTCATAAAAGTCAATGGCTACAGCAAATTACTAATGGCAAATGAATAGCCTTGGCTTCTGACGATATATTGATGACTTATGAAGCGAAATGATCAGTCTGTGCAAGAAACTGAACATTATTACCTGTAATCCAGAGCCTCAGGCAAACAGTCTGGAGTGATGTCCAGTTCACGAATGAATCATTCTTTTGAACCTATTCTTTTTAGTGAGCTAGTTGAACAAGTTCACTGGAGCATCAGAATTAGTTCGCGGCTCGAGCAGCGCAGATCTTCAAGTTACTCAATCAAAACTCACTTTCGGACGCCAGACAGTCACTCCGACTGGAAATGAGCCGAAATAACGGCATATATGATCCAATGATGAATGAACTGATTCAGTGCTCCAGTTCCTCCAACAGTCACTGAACTGAGGAAACAGCTTGCCTCTATAATAATAACACAATTGCAGCTTTAATAACACAATTGCGAATATGTTACGTCATTGCTTGATTACGTAAACTAACTAGTGAATTGCACCAGTACACTGCAACGAACTGTCCAAAAGAACCAGTTTGCAGAAAATAATCATATTTCCCCATTTGCCTCTGGATTACAGGTAATAATGTTGTAAGTAATGTTCAGTTTCTTGCACAGACCGATCGTTTCGCTTCATAAGACCTCAATATATAGTCAGGAACCACGGGTATTAATTTCGTGTTCCTTGATATGCTTTTATATTTTTTATTCTCAAAAACCGGTAGCCATTGACTTGCATTTTATGAATCACCAAGGGCCAGGATTTCAGTTAAAAATCTTCTTTACTGTTCTGCTACTTGAATGAGTAAATTAACAAGAAATTTTCATTTTTGTGTGAACTATCCCTTTAAAGTAGCAAAAAATTCAGACCTTCTCAATGTGCGTGTCTTCCAGAAGAGCACTGGGGTCCATCAGCACAGGAAGAAGATCTAGAGGTTCCTCGTCCTCGAAGCTGAAGCTCTGGCGTCGCTTGGCCTCATTAATCGTGATGATCTGATGACAAAAAAACAAACCAAGCTTTCATATTTTTCGTATTCTTTTAGGTGTTTCTCACAAGAGTCGCATGTTCCTCACCTCCCAGCTGCGAGGAACCGGGTCACTGTAGAAGTTGTCGATCATGGTGAGCTCGTCTTTCTCTACGACCACGAAGCCCTGCTCCTGAGCGTCTTTCCCATAAGTGTCTGGAGACCACTGGATGAAGAACGAGTAAAGGTGGTCCACTCTTTGGGGAAACAGCAGGAAGGTTTGGTTAGTGTACATTAAATTGCATATTATATTGTAGGAACTAGGGATGCTAATTTTAACCGGTTAACCGACAGTAAGAACTTTGACCGATTAATACAATCAGTTAAACGGTTTAAAAAGCCGTTCAGTAATTTATCAAAATATTTTAAAACAGCTGCTGCATGGTAGGGCTGTCAAAATGGCTGAAAAACTAAATTCAAATTTTGTACTTAAAATTATATACGAATTAAAAGGCATAAT